GGTGGGGGGGGGGGGGGGTGTGGGGGGGGGGGGGGGTGGGGGGGTGGGTGTGGGTGTGGGGGTGGGGGTGGGTGTGGGTGTGGGGGTGGGTGTGGGTGTGGGTGCGGGTGTGGGTGTGAGTGTGGGGTGTGGGCGTTTGTGTGGGTGCTTTTACCTCTACTTGCACTGACACCCACACCCATACCCACACGCACACGTACACTCACACCCACACACCCACACACCCATACCCACACGCACACGTACACCCACACCCACACACCCACACCCACACACCCACACACCCACACCCACACACCCACACACCCACACGCCCATACCCACACGCACACGTACACCCGCACCCACATACCCACACCCACACACCCACACCCACCCTTTTCCCAAATCTTTGATGAGATTAGTAAATCTTACAATATCCGACCATTGCTACATTATTAACACAAACTCATCATCGATTCTGGTCTTTTATCTCGAATAATCTTTGATCAAGTTTTTTAGAAAACATTAATAATTAATAATCAGCTTATAATTAATTAGTAAAAACTGACCCTGAATTTGGATTCCCCAGTCTCGATTACCTTTGATCAAGTTCTTAAGATAATTATTCCTTTTGTTCTCGCATTGTTCTCCGACCAATCAGTGAACAGTGCACATACAAACAAGCAAGCAAACAATTTATTTTTGCTAGGCTCTTCTCTACGAGAAAGAGAATATATCATAAACGAGAATTGTCATATTGTGTGGCTAAATGGGGCAATTATCTCTCGCTAAACAAGAGTGCTTCTTTATTATATTTCGTTGCATTTTCTACATTTTAATGAAATAACATCGTTTTTAAATTTCTATAGATAATATTTTCAAGCTATGCAGAATGCGCAAATGCTTTTGGTACGTCTGCTGTTATGCTTTTTGTTGGGACTTATCGTTTATTCGATCGTGAACTCAAAGTGGATTCGTGAAAATTCTGCAATACTTCGAGGTACAATAAATCAATTCCAAAGTATAGGAAATGGATCGAGTGAACGAGAAAAGTATCATACACAATGCAACGACGAAGTTGTAGTTTTCTTGATTATTACAGGAAAACCATATCAGAATAACCGTATCGCGTTACAACAACGGACATGGATGAGATATACTACACAGACGTATATATTTAGTGAAACTGCAAGCGGACGACTACCTTTGATAGTACTTTCAAACATTAGTGACTCGTATGCTAGTAATGGTCCCAAGTTCTGGGATGCGTTACAATGGGCCTGGCAAAAATTTCGCCATAAGGCAAAATGGTTTGCTAAAATAGACGACGATACATTTGTTAACATACCCGAAGTATTGAAATTAATAAAGGAAAAGGACGCTACCAAATTGAGGATAGTTGGTCGGTGTGGAGTATACAATCTTCCGCAATCGAGCACTTCCAAGCGAATATTACCGAAGAAGTGGACTTTTGTTGACGGTGGTGCTGGCATCTTCATCAATATGCACACTATGTCCCTATTACATTATTATGGCTTTTTGAATAAATCAAACATTATTCAACGTCATGGTGACAACCTTTTCGGGCTTCAAGACGCGAGTTTTGGAGAAATTATAACAGAAATCGCGCGTAGAGAAGCTATCCGGAACAAAGTTAGTCTTGTTTCACCATTCGATTGTGAAAATGATCGTTTACAGCATCAATGCAGCCCTCACCATTTAGAAACTAAACATTGCTTGACGCTCCCATGTGCCACATTGCATAAATGCAGAGAAGACTCCATGTTATATTGGTACCAACGTTTCTTTCCGAACATTTCGACAACATTCTAAGACCATCCTTCATGTTATTGTCTACAGTAACCAATGGCGAAAATTTCTAATACGATAAATGATAAGGCCAAAGTATTTTGCAGAAACTTTACGAATCGTAAAGTTCACCTGTTTTTACTTTCTTGTTCAAACAGAACTTAGTTTTGTCGAAGGATTTAAATTTGAGGGTGTGCCTGTGGATGTGAGTATGAATGTATGGAGACACAGGAGAATCACTTACACCCACACCCACACGCAATCCCACACCTACACCCCCACGCAATCCCACACCTACACCCACACGCAATCCCACACCCACACCCACACGCAATCCCACACCTACACCCACACGCAATCCCACACCTACACCCACACCCACACCCACACCCACACCCACACCCACCCACACCCACATCCTTTTATTAAAGAAGCAAAATATACCATAAGATGCAGGATGAAAAGCTCTACAATCTACAAACTAAAGTTTATTTTAATTGTACACTTTTTATTTTCAGAAAAAAGCAAAACTCTGTGCGACGGATTCTCGCCGTTGCGAAAACCGATCATACAGAATTTGGAGTTATTTTCAACTTAAGAATGACACAAATAAGATAAACTGTTCTTTGTAAATTATAGAGCTATTCACGCTGCATCTTGTGATATATTTTGATTTTTTTGAAGGAACTACATTAGGTGGTAAAAAGATAAAATAAGAAAATGAATTCTCGTTCGTGTAAAAAACAATTATTTTTTTCACAATGGCGAAAATTGGTTGCACAAAATTTTGCTTTTTTTGTAAACAAAATATATACAATTAAAATAAACTTTAATTTGTAGATTGTAGAGCTTTTCATCCTGCATGTTATGGTATATTTTGTTTTTTTAATAAGACGTATTTAGAGATTAAAATATGAAATGCAGAGTGCGGCCATTTATTATGGAACACCCGTTGTTTACATTTTACAGCTTTTTGTATGTCTTTAGTTTTCGTCTTTTTTCAAATATATCTAAAACTGTTTTTGAGCCTACTCATATATGGTTTTGTAGAGAATTTCAAGCGCTATCTTTTGATAATAAAGAGAGCTTTAATTACAGGGATAATAGAGAAGAAATCTTTAAAATACTGAGACACCCATTATTTCTGGGACACCCGTTAGATGGAGGTCTCATGAAACGCTCTGCATTAATAATGTAGTGTGTAGCTTAAATATATACATTTTCTTTTTCAATCATGTAAACACTCTCAAGTGTGATACTCATCAGCAGAATTAAAAATATGTTGGAAGACGAGAAACATTGTTTATAGTACTATATTAACTTGATGTTTCGTATGCATGTATATAGGTATGAGAATGGAATATTTCTATTATACATGAATCAAAGAAGAATATATTTTGATAAGTTAGATTGAAGACATAGCATCTTTTTGTCTGTAATGATAAGTATCATCAAATCTTTGTATTAAATATTCTCCGGCAATAACCGGCTCATATCGTGCTATTTGGTCATTAATCAAACATTTAATTTGAGTAAAATAATCTGGTCCAAAAAAGACAGGTATTGAATAACGTGTTGTACCACTTGTATTAATAACACGATGTACTGTCGATTTAAATTGATCATTTGTCCATCGTTGCATAAGATCGCCAATGTTAACAACAAATGTATTTGGAATAGGTTTAGCATTAACCCATTCTCCTTTATTATTAAGTACTTGAAGGCCAGATTGATTTGATTGAGAAAGAAGTGTAAAACATTCATAATCAGTATGTGCACCACAACCAAGTTGATCTTCATCAATAATAATTGGTTGTGGAGGATAATGAAGAAGGCGCATGGTTACCATTGGTTTTTGACACATATCTTTAAAATAATTTGAAGGTAAATTAAGAGATAAAGCAAATGCTTCTAATACACGATGACCAAGAGAAAGCATTGTTAAATAATATTCATCATAAATACATTCACGAAATCCTAAATGAAATCTATTTAATCTAATAAATTATTTGTTTTTGGGTAAAAATATTTACCTGTGAGATTATCCGGCCAAAAGTTTGGTCCATATAAAGAAGCACCTCGTTCTATTCGATCTTTATCATCTGCTGGTAATTCCATTGCTAAATCGAAACCTTCTTTAAGATCACCTTTAAGACTTAATTTTTCTTCAAACATAGGTGTATAACCTCGATTATTTTTATATGGACATGAACCAATATATAATTTCATTTTTTCTTCAATTGATTGAGAAAAAAAACGTTTTGCTTGTTCATAAACACGTTCTATAAGTGATGATGACACACCATGATTTGATAAATAAAAAAAGCCAACATTACGACAAGCATCACCTATTTCTGATGATACTCTTTGGCGGTCTTCATTGGTTCCATTAAAAAAAGGACCAAAATCAATTAAAGGAATATCTGTAAACATTCGTTTTTTGTTATATGATATGATAATATGCGTAAATGTAAAGATAAAGGCTATCGTTTCTCTTTCTTGTTCCTATCTAAAACAAATACCAACACACTACTATCAACGTCAATGACATTTTATATTTTTATCTTTTACAACACGTGTTATTTTATTCGTTCTTCTCCTAACTATATTACCTTCTCTTTGCTCTTACAGATAAACATGTTTTTTTTTATCATTTAAATCTTATATTTGTTTTCAATGATAGTGAAAAATCGATGTTAATTTATGATTGAAATGATTGATGTTTTAATCAAAAGATTTTTTATTTGTCGATAACTTTAATAAAATAAAGTAATGAAAAAAAGTAAATGAAATATTAATATTAATATCATCTTATGAACAGTGATCAATAGATGTTCTAGAATACGAATTCTCTCAATATGAAAATATGTATTTGAACAATTAGAAAAAAAATTGAATATTTGACTATTATTGTGTTTTTCTGATTTATTAATTTTTTGTTTTTTTTCTAACGATTAACTATTTCATCTTTGAGCAATAATTGTCTTGCCAGATTCTCAGCATTGACGTGAAACTATTCACAATTTTGCGTTTTTGTTTTTTCTTTGCTCGAATGTCATTATAATTTTGATAATATGTTTTAGTTTTTATTACATTTCCATATTTTTTCTTTGACTATTTTAATCTAATGGAGATATTGATTTGTTACTTTTAAATTAAAACTAAGAAAGAATAATTATTTTATTTGCGCACACCTATATGAATTGGTTGTATCTCAACAAGATTGATTGAACAAAATAATCAATTCAAATAAAATTTTGTGAGAAGAAATATTTCATGCTGTATTTTTAATGTGCATGTTTTGAGCTAATTGTATACATTCTCTCAAAGTATATTCAGATGAACAACAAATTTTTGTTTTTTTCAAATATAAAGCAAACAACAAAAAATACATTGTTTATAACAAGGTGAGATAAAATATACTAATAATTAAGCGAGTTTAGTATTCAAATTTTACATTATCATTTTGACTTTATCATTCTTTGCTCAGTTTCCACTAGAGAAGATTTGTAGACATTGTTAAATTTTTATAAAAAACCGAATTACATCGAAATTTGTGGACAAATCGAGAGGATTCTTCACTGCAGACAAGTCGATTTTCGACAAAATAAGATGATATTTGAGATAAACATGAACATGTTACTTGCGTTGTCTACAATACGAATTAAAAAAAAAAATAGATTTTATACTCGAAAGTTTTGTGGAATGAGCAAGAAAGTTATGGTTGGTTCTTGAAAAATATTTGCATACAAAATGATGTCTAGAGTTAGTTATGTCCAAAATAAATAATTTTTTTCAGACATGATCACCGCTTGTACGTCTTGGACGATTACTTTTAATGTCTTCAATCAATTGAGAATCTCTGTGCATCATCTCGAAATCAGCATCGACACTATACTATATTAAGATTCTGACAGTTGATCGAAGTTTATATTTTATATAAAATAACAAATCTCACATTCCTTTGGAGTTTCTAGTAACAACTAATAATGATTATCATTACTTAACAAGTCTTTAAAGGAACGAGTGAATTAAACTAATCAATATCGATTTACGATAAAACAAATTTAAGGATAATGGTATGTAACAATATTTATTGCGTTCTATTTTCTACTAATATCATCTAATCTACATCGATAAATGCTTTGATTGACATGTTATATGTATATATATATATTTCACTTTTATTCTAAGCAATAAGAGGAAGACTATGTAAGAGAAAAACCCTTTTCTTCTTTTTTTAAAAATCGATTTTCTCGGTAAAGATCGAATTGCGAAGATACTTTACGTAAATTTTGTTCATTCTAGAGAGATGTGGTTTTTTTATACATATACGCATAGTCTTTCAGATCAAGGAAATGATTTTTCTTATTTATGACCAGTGATAGATAAACTTAGAATTTTCCAGAAAAGCCATGTCAACAATTTCTCAACTTTCGAAGTTTCGACAGCCTGAAGAAAGAAGCAAACTAACAATTGAATTGAATCTTTCCTTAAAGCCAATTGATAAGAAGTTCTGTTGTAAATGAAAGCAATTCAAACTCTGTACCTTGATATATATTCATAACAAAAAATGTTTCCATACAAATCCTCTTTTGCAGATTGATCCATGGGAATCGTCTAAATGCTAACTTATGTACGAGTGAAATCTTCGTTTTTCTTTTTACTAATGTATTCCTGTGGGCAGGAGATCTATGCCAAGTTTTATCTATATCTTATATAACCTGTTGAAAGTAAATTATTGAGGTAGGAATCCTTAAACCAACCAATCGGAGTATCAGTTTCAGATTGGATTGGTTCGGTCTGAAATCACAATGATCTTATGATTGAAATTCTGAATAGTAGGCGTTTATTTGGTGGAGAAAGGGATGAGCTATGCCATTAGATTCTATTACATTCCTAATCTTATTCTGAATATCCTTAGTAAAAATGTTTAATCCGTAGTTGATAATAGTATCGTAACCTATGAAGTATTTTTTCGATTATTTGTATTCATTAGTTAAAGCATCAAACACATTTCTAAGACTATCGTTGATAATCTGAGCATAACAATCTACTTATAATTCGTTCTTCTTTCAGAATACCGCTCGCCGAGATGACTCCATACTCAGATCCAACAAAACAGAAAATTTCCAGAATTGGACCCGACCGATTGTGGTCTTACTAGAGAGGCTCCACCAACCGCTGAATTCTAACATCGAATTCGTTTATTGATGATCTGATAGACTCGAAGTTTTGTAATGGAACTTTTTGATGCACCATTCGAACCTCTACTATATATATATGGTTCGATAATGACATCACAAAAATTTAATGTCGGGATCTAAACAAGATGAAGAAGAAAGTTTGTTCGGTCTCTTTCTCTGATTTGACTGATTTATTTCCTTTTAGACATAATAGGGTGCTTCAATACAAATTTTTAAAATGATTCGATTTCGTATTTTGGTGTGGGTGTGGGTGTGAGTGGATCTAGGGTATGAGTGTACTCTTCTTTTAATCCACGCACCCACAACCACACTGACATCCCACACTCACATCTCACACCCACACCATAATAAACTGTTGTTTCATAGGAAGAAAATAATGGTATTTGGACAAATATATTCTTTATCAACATTTGCTTTTTTAGATTGAACATCTAGATGTGACATGATAGTCGGCCACAATGAACAAACCTAAATAGTGGATTGGCAGTACCATATGTGTGCCGGGTGACATGACTAATACAAGATGAAGCACCAACATGGTATAACCATAGAAAGGGGGAAAAGATGAACCTTGTGTGAAATTCAAACTATACACTTTCTGCTATTCAGACAGGCTCACTATCACTAGAATAGAAAAGATCACTTAATATTCGTTTTAGGAGTGTACTGTTCTCATGCAATTCTAACACAGAGAGGTCAATAAAATACAATTTTTACTCGGACATTCTTAATGCACGATTTCCAACTATTTCTCTAGGACAATTTCAATCATCTTTGATAGAGCAATGAGTGTTCTGATATGAGGAGTTTGTGCGATGAAACATCGTGTTTTACGTGTCATCAGAAAGAATTTTCATCGAGTCATCCGGGAAAGCATTGTAAGACAGGAATTTCACTCTACTAAAGCGCTCTATGGTCGTATTTGAATACAAACTGTCGGTACATAATGTCTTTTCTTTGATAATTCTTTCGATAATGTATAATATGTAACACTCGAAATATTAATGATCACGTTTTCGAACATTTATGGAATTATTTTGTTTATTATTTCTTTCAGTCATTATAGAAAACATGATTTAAGAATTTCTCTTGATTAGTTATTTATCCGAAAAAATATGAATGCTTTCTAAAACGTTCTTAGATATCGATTTGAAAATAAAGCGACTCTGTCCGACAAAGATGTGTGCGATAGAATTATCGGTACTAGCAAGAAGAATAATAGAAACGATGATTAACTAGCCTTTCGGCTACTTTTGCAGCATAGTGTTCGGCCAGAAAGCAGATTTTGCTAAACTGCCGAATCCCTCCATACACACTGACTAATCACGTACTATTTACTCGCAAGAGCCAATCTATGTTACTATGTAGTAAGCGTGCTATCTTACGAGTCACTCGAGGGAAACAGCAGCCAGTGGCTTGATCAGAACTATTTCATGGGTGACAGCACTAACCATGGAAGTGTTTCTGTTGTAAGTTCAGAAGGCAAAACATATTCGGGTCAAATTAAAGCTTTCACAGGTAAACTGATAAATTTAAAATATAGGCTGCTCTTAGCGTTCACGGGCCGATATATTCGAATTTCAAGGCATTTATCGTATATATAGGGTGCTGACAGTTCAAAATTTGACGAGAGGTTTTTCTTCGTTTTTCGTGATGATTGGATAGAGCTCGTTGAGCGAGTATAAGAAAAAGTATGTTGCAAATTAAAAAACAAGTTTTTTACAAAAGTCAGAATTTTTCGTCTATTTTTTTTGTACGTATATGAAAATAATGGTATCCTAGGCATTTTTCTTGAAAGATTGTTTTTAATTTGCAACATACTTTTCTTATACAACTTAATGAACTCTGTCCAGTCATCACGAAAAAAGAAGAAAAAACTCTCGCCAAATTTTGAACTGCAAACACCACATACACGGTAAATACCTTGATATTCGAATATCTCGTCCCGGGAACGCCAAAGACAAAGTATATTTAGAATTTCTCAGTTTACCGGTGAAAACTTTAATTTGACCCGAATATGTCTAGTCTTCTGAACTTACAACACAAATACCTCCATTATAAGATTCAAGCATAGTATCTCGGAGGTATGTGCCGGACAATCTAACCACTCAAGCAAAATGGCTCACTCTTATTAATAAAACTGCAAAGAATCAGTATGAACACTACAGTTCATAACGTAGTGCATAGCATCGTTGCGTATCTGCGTAATAAAATTTACAAAAACAAAGAAAATTATCGAGGGAAATTAGTGTTTTAGCTGGTCTTTCTATTGGTAAAGAATTGCCGGAAATAAAAACAACGTGGTGATAACAATGTTCATTTATTTTCATTGAACCGCTAGTAAGTGATAGGGGTAATAATTTTGACGAGATTTCTCAACGGTAGTTTATGTGAATTTTGATGCTGATTCGTGATAAATAAAGAAAACACTGAAAGGTACTTGATCTCAAGCTAAAATTGCTGGTGCGTTCACTTTAGGGATATGTACATAGCAGGACTGCCAAGTGTATCCCATTTTGGATTTTTGACCGTTTTCTGCCATAAACGAGTCTTTCAATGAAATGAACTGTAAGTTTCAATAGATCTTATTGCGTCACTATAGAGACATTCATAGTGAGCAATATCAATGAAAATTGACCTAAGATTATTGACATTTATTTCGTTCATTCCGCTGTGTCTTGAATTTTTAATTTGTTTATTAAAACGAAGTTCGAGGCATCTTTTATTTTTTCTTTTTAATTTATTTATTTTCGAGTCATATTTGACTGGACATAATATTTATAAAATTAGTTTATATTCAAGTTTTTGCTGAATGAATGATGAGGGTGTGCATGTAGTATTAGATCCCAGTCTCAACTACCCCACCTGCCACGCACATACTTCATCGGCTTTCGACTTTTGCAGTGGCAAAAATCACAAGAAATTGATAAAATAACAAAACTTGTTGCAGATATGTATTCAATATCTTGATCTAATGCATTACAGAAGATGCTTTTTGTCATATGAAACAACTATAGACATATAGTCGAGGTGCAATGTTAAGAGAAACAATAGCTGCTGAATTGAAAACAAGATTGACCTAAGAGATGAAATGTAATGACTTTTTACATTTGTTTAAAATGAATCTGAACTCATCAAATGCACTCGATATCAACAAAAGTACAGTCGTATAAAAAACTCCTTCTAGCTGATTTTAATACTCAATATGTCTTTATTGGAAATTTTATATTTTTTTGTAGATAACAGTTGTTTCTAAAAGTATGATTTAGCTGTGACACTGTTTTTCTTTGTGAAAAATGGAAAATTGTGTGTTTTTTAGACAAGAAATTTATTGTAGAAATTTTTTCCAAACTAACCTTTCTCTTTCAGAAAAAAATATGTACCCCAATAATGTACCACATTGTTAAAAACTTGTACCCCAATTATATTCTATTTGAAAATTTGGACTTGGCAGCCCTGGTACATAAAGTGAACGTTTTTTAAATTTCAATTTTCTGCCGCTCATTACTCAACTATTTTAGCAGTTAGAACATATTTTTTTACATGAACAGATGCAAAATTTTATGCTCTTTTCCGGAATATAAAAACAAAACTTTCAGGATGTCAAATGACGGAGACATGAAAGGCACAATGCACACGTATGTAAAGCACGTTCGCTTTAAGTACTTTGACTCTATTCATGCGCCAGCCAAAATAATAATTTTATTAACAAAAAGCAAAATAGTTTATTTCATCAATTCTGAATTAATCATCAGACAAATATTGCGTTATACAAATAACTTTGTACTTCGATAATAACCTTTGTTTAAAAAAAAATAGATATTACTGTTCTTGAATTCAATTTTAATCTTTATCTGTTTACTACTGTTTTTGTGGAATCTATAACAATAATGCACGCGTTATGAATATTTTATTAGATGAATTTCCTTGAAAGTCTCTTTTTTTTATTAGTAGATATAATCTATGTTATTCAATTTCATTTCGTTTTTTTTGTTTCATCTATCGATAGATGTATTACTTTTAAGATAGGCTCTTATGAAGAATTTACTCGGATCTGCGCCAGAAAAACGCGTTATAAATCGTGCTGTATGAGAATCACCAAATCTTATAACTATTCAGATTTTTATCAGCCACTAGCAGTTACATTTATGAAGGCAGGAACAAACGAGATTTTCATACGTTAGCATATATTTTGAGGAAAGTCAACAATCCTAAATGATTAATATAAAAGAGAAAAATCTATAGAAAAAAAACAAGAAAGAAAAACAATGATAAAATAAGTATATATGAACTCTATAAATGGTCGATATTGTACCCAGTTTTCATTGTAGGATAAATAGAAAATGCTACATATGAGATATCTATTCGATATGATCGTCGTACATTTGATTCTTGCTACACCTCAAATCAATCTTTATAATACAGATTGTGTAAGTGAGAATGAAAATAATAATGCATTACAACACGATTGTCTACGTGTTGTTGCTTCTAATGAAGAAGCAAATATTAATCGTCAAATTATATCGTATTGTATGAGTGAATTACAATCAAAATTTCATATCGAGAAAACGAATGTCTATCCAAAGTTTACTTTTGCTGAACTATCGAAACAGAATATTACTAGTCAACAATTATATATTTGGTCAGCACCGATCGATATCGTTGAACATTATGAATTCTATTTAAATCAATTATCAACATCAAATGATCTATCTATCGCAACACAAGTTTTCTATAATTGTACATTGCCAAGATTTGGTCCCATGTGTCAATATGAAATTGATTATTATTATCGAAATTATTCATCTTTATATGAAATAATTCATGATTATTATCGTACCCAGGAATATAATCCAACGAATTTTACATGTTATACTCATTTGCAATGTAATCGTGGTCCTTTGCCAGCATGTTTAGATTGGAGTGAAATTTGTGATGGACAGATCGATTGTCTCGATGGTGATTTTGATGAAGAACATTGTTGGCAGCTTGAAACAAATCAATGTAAAGACGACGAATATCGATGTACTAATGGACAATGCATACCATGGTCGTTTTTTCGAGACGATACTAATGCTTCTGATTGCGTTGATCGCTCTGACGAAGTTTCAAGACGTTATGACAAATTTAACAAGTGCAATACAGATAAACCGTCATTTGAATGTGAAGACATAACATGTAGGCATACATTCTTGACAAATTCTTGTGTGGTACCACGCCAACGCCTACTAGTGAATGCGATCTATTCGATCACTAACAATTCCGTATCTCAACAATGTTGGTCAGCTTTTAAATGTGTCTTAAATGTACCTGATTCTGAAAAGCCATTTTGTAAAAACGTTTGTGAAACAGCAGCATGTCTCGAGATCATTAACAACACGTGTCCAGATATGTTTCACTTTCCCAATGTTCCAGTTTTATTTGGTCACGCATACTTTGCTCACACAAAAAATGACTCATTATTCTTTACCAGAGGAGGTTCTGTAGCACCTTATTTATGCTATAGAAATTCTCGTTATGATGAGTATTTTATTCGTCAACCAAAGATCTTATTCAATAATGAAACGTGTTTTCGTCCTCAAGGGTTACCAGTCCCATCGATTTTTTCTACTTCATGGGAACTCAACTATCACATACCTTTAAACCACTTGTACAAAGAACTTAAGGCATACAATCTGATCTTTAACTATAATTCTGCAATTTGTAATGCATCGCACATGTATCAATGTGTTAATTCATCCAAATGTATTCCAACTAATCGCCTACTGGATGTTGCAAATGATTGTCCTCAGAGAGAAGACGAAAATATTACATACATTAATAACACTGGTTTAACAAAAAAATTAAAAAGCCATTTCAAATGTGAACTAGCTGATAAATACATTCATCAATCATTCGTTGCTGATGGAACATGCAATTGTTTATTTGCTGGCTATAGGTGGTGTGAAGATGAATCTTCAGATGTTCACTATGCTAGAAAGAATATTTCATTTCAAACAATTTGTGATGGATTTACAGAGCTGATTCCAATAACAATCGAAGGGCGAAATGAAACAGATGAAACAGAATGTGAAAACTGGTCATGTAATAACATGTATACTCGTTGTGATGGTTTATGGAATTGTCTCCATGGTGAAGATGAAATTGGTTGTTATTTATCGTCAACATTTAATTGTTCGCCAGATCATCACATATGTGTTTCACCTGACACAAACCAATTCATGTGTCTATCTATTCAGAAAGCAAACGATGGCAAGATCGATTGTGTTGGTGCTACTGATGAGTCAACATTATGTCAAAAAAAGTATGAAATAAATGTTAATTATAATTTTTACTGCAGGAACACAACATATTCATCCTGTATTAGTTCTGAAAAATTATGTGACCGTGACAAAAATTGTAAAGATGGAGATGACGAACAATTTTGTGTAAAAAATCGAACAAATAATACCATAAATCGTATTTGTCGTCCATCGTATGTAGCTTTTGGTTCTGACGTCGAGAAGTTTTTATGTTATGCAACAAGAGACAAGATAAAACAGCAAATAAAATATTTTTCACTGGATGGAATGAGCAAATCCGTCGAAACTCAAACGAAGAATGTGACACGTCTCGTATTTTCAAGTTCACCTATCATTAAAATATCTCATCAACATGAACGTCGCTGTCATCGTGGTCTTGATTTACGTGTCTGGTTAAATCATGAAAAGAACTTAACAACAAATACATGCCTTTGTCCACCTAGTTTTTATGGTAATATCTGTCAATATCAAAATCAACGAGTGAGTTTGACCATTAAATTTCGAGCATTATCCGATTCTTGGTCAACATTATTCGCAATGATTATTTCACTTATCGATGATACTGAAGAAAGAATTATTAATTCATATGAACAGTTCACTTATTTATCGATAAGAGATTGTAAAATTAAATTTAATATTTATTTACTTTATTCAAATCGACCAAAAAATCTAACAAACAATTATGCTATACATATTGATATCTATGAAAAAGCTTCCTTGACCTATCGAGGAAGTTTACTGTTTCCAATAACATTTCCATTTTTACCTGTTTATCGTCTAGCAATCATAGCCGATATCCCACGAAATGATAAAAATATCGAAAGTTGTTCAAATCCTCGATGTATTCATGGCAAATGTATTAGATATTCAAATAATCTACAAAATACTAGTTTTTGTCAATGCTATCAAGGATGGTCTGGACAATATTGTACTATTCCACATACTTGTATGTGCTCGTCTGATTCATTATGTATTGGTACCTCTGCTAACAATCGATCTGTATGTGTTTGTCCTGTTCATAAATTTGGTGCTCGATGTCTTCTTATCAATACAATGTGTCAAATTGACAATAATTTAACATGTCAAAATGATGGTCAATGTATTCCTACGAATGAATATATGATAACCGATCAAGCATTTCACTGCATATGTCCAAAAGGTTATATTGGAGATCGATGTGAAATAGTTGATAATAAAATTACTCTTTTATTTGAAAAAGATTTTACTTTATCTCAATCAATATTTATTCATTTTATTGAAGTTGTTAATAATGGTGCACCGATTAGAGCAACTACTTTTCGAACAATTCCACGAACACAAGATTCACTCATTATTTACTGGGCACGACCATTTCATCTTGTTTTTATTGAACTTATTAATAAAATTTATTATTTAGCTATTACTCAAAAATCTTATCAACGATCAACAACAATAGTTAAGATGATAAATCCATTAGATCGTTGCCAACACATAAATGAATTATTTAATGAAACTTTTATTCAATTGCATATTCTTCGTCGTATTAAATATTATCATTTACCATGTCAAATATATTCATCAAATATTTCTTGTTTTTATGATGACATCCATATGTGTCTATGTTATGATTTTGGACAACAACGTTTAGCAAATTGTTTTGAATTTAATCATAATATGACATTCGATTGTTTAGGTCAAAGTGTTTGTGAAAATGGAGGTCAATGTTTTCAAGACAAGCCCGATTGTCCACAACGATCAATGTGTATTTGTCGTTCATGCTTTTATGGAACACGATGCCAATTTAGTACAAGTGGATTTGGTTTATCACTTGATGGCATCTTAGGCTATCATATTCTACCATATACTCGTATTATACATCAACCAAAAATTGTAAAAATTAGTTTCGGATTAACTATAATTTTTATGGTGGCAGGGTTTATTAATGGTGTTCTTGCTTTGATAACATTCAACAATAAATTAATATGCGAAGTCGGTTGTGGCGTGTATCTATTAGGTTTATCAATTGCTACTTTATTTACAACGATTATATTTGGATTGAAATTTTCGATCCTTGTTCTCGGGCAAATGGCATATATATCAAATCGATTATTTTTACAAATTCAATGTATATCTCTTGATTTTCTTCTACATGTTTCCCTTACTATGGATCAATGGTTAAATGCATGTGTTGCTACTGAACGAGCAATTACTATGATAAAAGCTACTCATTTTCAGAAGAAGAAAAGTAAACAAGTAGCGAAAAAAGTCATTGTTATTCTTTTGATTGTGATTATTGGTACTTCTATTTATGATCCACTTTATCGACGTATAATTGACGAAGAAAATGAAGATGAAAAACGAATATGGTGTGTTGCTACTTATCCATCCAGTTTACAAATATTTAATTCTGTTATAAATACTTTTCATTTTCTCGCTCCATTTATGATTAATTTGATTTCAGCTGTTATTCTCATAACAAAAATATCTCGTCAACAAACAAATCTGCAAACTCATCGAACTTACACAGAACTTTTACGAGAACAAATTCGACGACATCGACATTTATTTGCTGCTCCAGTTTTACTAGTCATCCTTGCATTACCACGTTTAATTATTTCATATGTATCAAAATGTATGAAATCAACAAATGAAGCATGGTTATTTCTTATTGGATATTTTATTTCATTTATTCCACCTATGCTTACTTTTGTTGTATTTATACTGCCATCAAAATTTTACAAAACACAATTTCGTAAATCTGTCGTTGCTTATCGAACTAAAATACAACGATATCTACAAGTTACTACTATATAAAGGTAAAGGAAATGATTTTATTGAAAATATTTATGAGCCTATTAATATTCATTCTTTCTTTGTTCTTATTAAATATATTATTTCATAGTTTTCTAAATATTTTTAAATGAAATAATCAAGTTGAATATTTTAGAAGTTTCATCAGATGTCAGAAATTTTTGAAATCTAAAATTGATTTGTACCATAGAAACGGGATGCAAGTACTTTCTTGTGATGATTTTATGTAAAGCCATCGACACATTAGAAGATCCCGGGTCTTCTATTCTGTCTTATCATTCATAAGTTATAAGCGGGATCTTCTATTATATGTCCCTCAAAAAATCATAATTTTTGCACATATGTTAAACTTGAAACTTGAATTCAATTGAAATTTCACGTTTCAAGTTTCAGGTTTCAACTAACTTTACAAAAGGACACGTCCCGCATGTCTCTACATGTGGATACCATGCAAGGACTCACACCGCATCTCTCTCGGCATTGGATGCATGTAAGCTTGAAAGTTGAAACTTGGAATCTCAGTTGAATTCTAGTTTTAAGTTTTACACTACTGAGTACATCTCGGTACCATGTACCATAACTTTCTTCTTTTCTAAAGAATAAAACCTGACACGAATAGCATTCAACCTTCTCAATAATTAACCAGAAAAAGAAATTTATTTTTTTTGTGCCAAAATTATTTAAATCAGTGGCTTTTGTTGAGATTTAATTAGTATAGAAAGAATTCGTTCACAATGAAATCTACCGCTAACGTGATTATTAGCCCAAAGCTACATCTTCAATCAATAAAGTCGTCTAGCGAAGAAAACGTTCATAGAAAAACAATGGTTTAATACGCATTCTGTGTTTTTCTTTGTATCTATTTCAAAAAATACTTTTAGATCTTATTAAGAAAAGAAATGCGTTGTCATACTCATAAGAAGTATTCACAGAACAAGCGCCGACATCGATACATGCAGTTATGTTTTCTTCAATTATAAAAGGCTATCTTGTTATAAACACTTTTCTGACTTTTTAGAGGAAAGTCAAAGGTGCAGAGACCTCTTAAAAATGCACAATGCAATTTCACGTATATTGCTATTATTTGACAAAAATCTCTTCATGAATTACACGCGCAAATATTGCACTGCATTCATTACAGTTCATGACCATGGGAACCTTTGTTTCTTATAGGAAACCTGAAGAATTTTTTCATAATAAGCTATAGAGGAACACTAAAATGACTCCACAAGATGTTTTCAACAGATAAACAGATTCTTTAATAGACTGTTGTTTCCTATTAGCTATTTCTCGAAATTTTTCTGACGCAGCACTGACCGGTCGCTATGACGATGGAAGTAAAATCTTGTCTCTACTGAACTTAAATATCGTTATAAGGTTAAATACTGAAAAAGTCAATAAAATCGAGAAATTACTTTAAAAAAAAAATCGCTTTTCTGAATGGGATCTCGTAATGTCTTTTGCTTCATTTTTCCAAGGGGATCTTCTAATGTGTCGAAAGCTTTAATACTTTTTTAGGCGTTGACAGGAATGATGGAATCGATTCGGTTTTCTTTTCGGAACCGAGTTTATCTAGTTGTTTTTAAAAGTTCAAACCGAACCAATCCTATATCTGGTTCTTGATAGATCAGGGTTGTGCGAGTCCAGGTAATTCATTCAAAAAACTAATAGCTGACAATTTGATACGAAAATCAGTTTTAGAATAAATTGATGGTTTTCTGCAAGGAGAAAATGTGACCAGTGAACAATGTTTTTTATTGCCTTGTGGAACTATATGAAAGAGAAAAGTTGATTTTACTGCCCTAAATTTGTTGATAAGGTTATAGTAGTTGTGTCATTTTATTTAATGTAGGACTATTCTTATTTTGTTTTTGTGCATAAAAACTAGGAACACGATATCGTGTCATGAAAAACTTCTTGTTACGTTCTTTATAAAAATAAATAGAAAATGAAAAAATGGCAAAAATAACTTGACTCTTTCAATTGTGCAATACATATACAAACACAGGGTTCCTTTTAAGCGTCACTACTTCAGTAACTACAAAACAGTACATTCTATCGTTTGATCTACTGTGTGCGTCAGATTTGAAGAGGGATGGGTGTAAACTCAATAACTCGACAACGGCAACTGCTAACAGCCTGCATGTTTCACTAATCGAAAGAGAAGAACTGTGGACGTCTTTTTGTCTCATACTATATACGACAAAATTATTTTATAATCCATCATTCTCACAAAACATTCAAAAACATGAATGAAAACGATTTTTCGCTTGAAACAAATTTTGATAAAAGGCAGAAAATTTGTTGAGAATCAACAGAATTCTAATTATATTATTTGACCAAATAGATGCGCGACTTTGTTTGCTCAACATTGAGACATGAGAAGATAATCACCTGAATCGTGCTTTAAACTATAGATCCTAAGTCCCACTATCTGAAGCATACGTATGGCAAAATCCAAATTACATCGAAACGGGACACTTTTTCCGTGCATTTTTTTTAATGTTTTGTGAAGATGATTAGTATTGAAATAATTTTGTCTTATATTGTATGAGACAAAAAGGCGTCCGTAGTTCTTCTCTTTCGATTACTGAAATCCGCAGCTCATTAGCTGTTGCTGTTGTCGAGTTACTGAGCTTACATCCACCCCATTTTGATTCTGGAATGGACATTAGTTACATCTCTTGTAGAGAAAAAACAAAGAAACTTAAAATTCTCAAGTGGATTTTAAAAAGGTGCGAATTTCTCAAGTAACTTTTGAGTTTTTTCTCCATTGGAGGTGTTGATCGAAAGCCAAAGTAGACATTTTGGTAGCTGCTGATATGAAGCTTAAAATGAGCTTTATGATTGCATATTTGTCAAAGACTAGCAGACTTTTACATAAGACAGTCATAAGAAAGCGTGCATATTATCGTATAATTTCTTTTTTAGATCATTCATTTGTCTGTCAAATATAGACAATATGACGTTGAAAAAAGTTTAAACAATATATTGTTGTCTGTATTGTTTTCATTATATATTATATTTGTCTTTTTGCTTTGTTGTTTCTGCTTACATGTTGGTCTATGAAAATTTATTTTATTTTAATCGATTCTTTTAACCAGAAGATTAAAATTTGTTTGTAAAATATTTATCTGGATATATTTTATTTATGTTATAATGTGTTATTAAACTTCAGTATAGTATGATCTGAGTTTTTAAACTTAATATCTTTACTTGCGTCTTGTACATATAGCTTCATGCTTGAATTAATAACTGACATTGAAATGCCAAGCTACAACGATAATCATTTTTTTCAGCTAAAAAGAACCGATGTATAAAAGCTTATGATTTAAAAGACACTGTTTGACACGTACGGTCTTCTATAAAAAAAAACATTCATTTATGATAATTGATGTTTTATAAGTTGTGGCAACATTTTAATTTTGTTTTAGTATTTTTTCAATATTCAAAAATGGGCAGATATTGAAGGTATTTCTATATTTGGAGAGTAACATCGAAACTATTATTATGCAAGAGAAGAACCATTCAAGTTGCATCTATAATAATAAAAATAGCTATATTGGTAAATATTTGTTTTAAAAATCAGAAAATTTAACTTTTACTCTTGCTTTTATGATTTCGACCATGATATTATCAAGCTATTGTTTTCGTTCTTCGTTGCCTGATGTTTCTTATCGGTATGCAACGATAAATTTCTCTTTCACCTAGATAACATTTAATAATAATAGAATGACAAAAATGACTTGTTATGTGTGAACAGTTGAGTGCTAGTTTTTCAAGATTAACATAAAAAGGAAAAAAAGAAATTTGCCATTTGTTTTTTTATCATGTTGACTAATACTAGCGTTTTTTTACTATGAACGCAACTTAAATATAAGTTCTTCGATGTGTAACAAGCCATTTTCCAATTAAAAAGATTGCATAACTAGAAAAATTGGTTTTATCGTCGACGAAGCAAGGTATTTATTAAAATTTATTATCAACGATTTTAGAAGACAGTTGTAGAGAAAACAATGAAAGTGAATGTTAGTATGTTTTGAACAAAAAATCCACATTAGCTAAGAGTTAAGTTTGAAATCATTTCGAATCCGAGGTCACATTATTTTTTCAAAACGTCTTGAAGAATTTATTGTAAAAGTGACGGACTTTATGACTTCAAGACACTTGAAATTTCTGACTGAGATTTTACTAAAACAATTAATTATCGAAATCTTTTATTCTTGAGATATTCTGTCGAAATACAATAATAAGTAGAGTGCCATTGTCAAGAAGATCATTAGTTTAATTTAATGATTCGTAAAGTTCGATTACAACGTCAAGTCTCTTTAAAAAATTTCGCCATGACACGGTCCTTTGTAAACGAAAAGTGAATCGCAAGGTGAAAATCAATATCTGATGTTGATCAATTTAATGTTCATAGTGAAAATGTATTTTATAGAATATTAAAAAACAATTGAAATGATGAGACACTTCTTGAACCTAATCATACCAAATTTGTTTTTATCCATGATGAAACATACCATAGAGATGGTAGTGAACTTCAACTTCATGCTCGATTGGAAAAAAACAATCTCAACTGCATCGTTTTCATTTCAAACTACAACTGTCAATAGACAACAAACTTTATAGGATTATGTTGATGATGAAAATCAAGCAACATCATCATTGGCTCCTGTTGTCCTTCTTGTTATACAAGATGATCTAGACACAGTAGAACAAGGTTTAAAAAAATCTTTCAACGTTTCAGATATCAAATTGTTCATTTCTAGTTCATGAGGCTGTTGCTCAAAATAATATATCTGTTGTGCTTCTTGAAGGTATAGGCACATGTAGTGATTTATTTGCTACTTAAGTAAATTTTATCATCTGTACAACGAATATCATAAGCATTTGAAAAAAAAACCTCATGGAAAAAAGTTCGTATTGTTCAGAAAGATCATGTTGAATACTGTCTCTCTAGTGATGATCGAGTCTTTATCTTGCAAAAAAATAAACGTGTCAAGGATAGAATTCGACAAAAAATACAAATCATGTTAAATGAAGTTATTTCAACACCATCGACACATATTTTCGAGGAAAATATAACAACAACAAATTGTTTTCAATTAATCTATGGATGTATCGAAATGCATCAAATATTGTTAATTTTTTTCGATTTTAAAACGCGTAGTCGAGTCGAAGCAGATATTGATTTGGCCATATTACAATCGATTCTCATAGCTAAAAAAAAGAACTCGATTACTTTTATTAAAAGCAAAAACATTTTTTAGCTGCATCTGGCAATGATTCGTCGAAAAGCAACATGGAACAAAAGCTAGAATAATTATATTTAGTACTCGAATGGAATCGAGTTGATATTGCCAAAAATTTTAGAATGAAAAATGAAGAAGACTGAAAGGTTATTCTAGAATATGATTTTCGATCAAAACACTTATTTTCTTGCAGAAAATTTACTTGAATGATTTATTTGAAAGTACACTTACTCAAAATCAAATTGCTTTTGTTCAATTATTTCTCGATCATGTTTTTCCATTAGATGATTTATTTAGAAATAATAACAAACTCTTGATACTCTACAAGCATGAAGTGCATCTTTCTCTTTCTTTTATATTAAGAGAAGGATATGGGTGTAGGTGTGGGCGTGGGCGCAGGTGTGAGTGTGAATATTCTGAAATACTCACAGTCCCCCCCCCTCCCACACACACAGATCACTACCTATTGCTGTTCTCGAGATATTTGTCTTACGCCAGCTCACATTTAATTCTGGCGCCGACAATAGTTTCTTAATTTTAGAAAAATATAACGATTTTTTTAGAGTGTGAATGTGCTTGGTGTGGTATGAGTGTTGGTGTAAATCTTCTCTGCATTGCCACTCACGCTCCTCACCCATCTACAACTACACCGATACATCCATACCTGCACACTCGCATCCGCCCCCACCCCCACACACTCGCACTCCACCCACATCCCCAAGCCGTATTCTTCATTTAGGCTGTAATTATAGCTTTTACCGTGAATAGAGCATCAGTTTTATTGGAGATAAACGATGTTCGATGGTAAAACCATACATTTTAATAGCTTCCAATGAAGACGTCATTCCAGTAATCGATTTAGTTCGTCCATTGACCATCAGTTTGACAAAAAATATATCTTTTTACTTCCTATGGAATTGCGATACTAACCTCAGAACAGCAAATGAAAATACGAAAGAAGAATATAAAGCACAGAAAAATCAAGGACTAATTTATCTAATGAAGGGAATACGAATGCAACAACAACACTGGTTATAATACTTTCTGTCACATTAGGAATTGTTCTTATAGTAGTGATAGTCCTGGCTATGTGTGCAGTCAATTGATGTCGTGAAAGCATTTTCAATACTCGCTCACTTACTGTCAATATCCGTACAAGTATGAATCACTCAGCAACACAAATTGCACAATCACCTCAAAACAATTTAGGAAGTTTTGCCAGATTGATTAAGGTCACTGGCTTTCCATAAGACCTATCTCAAGTAAGCTTCTCAATACTGTATATTCGCTTTGCTTTTTCCTGTTAAATTACCAAATATATTTCATATTATCTTCTTGCTGTTAATCAATCTATTGCAAGGGGAAAATTGCAGATACCGTGCACCAAATTATTCTCAAAGGTGCTGAAAAGATGTTCAAGGTGCTCACAAGATGCCGAGACGCTCACACCTATCTGCAAATAGACGGGATATTAAAACCGAGACAAGGCTATTTTTCGAAATTTTTAGTTTATTTTTTTTCAAAAAAACGTTTTACTAAAAAATTCATATTTTTGCTAAAGAATAATCTTTTTTTAAAATGATTTTTATTAAAAAAGAATAATTTTTTAGCAAAAATATGATAGTTTTAGTAAAAAAAAGCTTTTTTTCAAAAATATTAAACTCGAGATTTCAAAAACTCAATTACAGATTCTCATTCCGCGACTCTAAAAACCTTTGGTGGAGTTTTATAAAAAAATCGGTATTTACGAAAAATAGCCTTGTCTTAGTTGAGAAAATCGAATTGAAATAATTTGACTCTCACTCAAGGCTATCCCTTAATATCCAGCCTAATTGCAAATATGCATGAGCATCAGAGCACCTGCAGTACTCAAAGGCGCTAAAGATGTACTGAGGTGCTGGGAGTTTCAAACCTATACTTTCCTCCTTGATCGGTCATAAACTCTTTTGGATCAATAAAAATATTTTGTTGAGTTTCAGAAAGACGTCTATTTACCATATTGCTTTCATCAAAATACCAATCAGTGCTTGGATAACGTTGGTGAAAATCAATCATATAGTAATCGAAACGATTCAGTATGACAATAGCTGGACAATCAATCAAAATACTTTCTCTGTTTCTTCTTTGTGTTCAAAAGAAGTCACAGTTACCCGTATATGGAAACAAATCACTGGACGAATCCTAGAAAGAAAAACTTCATAGGTTCCTGGTTCCTCATGATGAAAAGTCAGTAAAGGTGGATTTTCAGCAAGCAGATTTGTGACATAGGAAATCTGATTTTACCAATCGAGAAAGCTCATTGAGTTGAGCTTGGAAAGAAATAGAGGTGTTGAAACAAGTCTATTAACGAATTTCAGAAGGATATGCTCGAATCACTAGATAACTTTAACCATGTTTATTAATAATAAAAACTCTACAGTAAATTGAGCAATGTAACTACATCATGTGTTAGATTTATGCAGAGTTTCTCGTAATGTTTAATAAGTGTATTTTGATTTTCAAAATAGTTCACTGATGATCATTATAAATTGTTTTCCGCGAGCATGCTATAATAAGCTCCACGTCGTTGTATCAGTTCTGTATGTGTACCACTTTCCACTATATATCCTCCATCAAGTGCACAAATCAAATCACACGAACGAATAGTTGAAAGACGATGAGCAATAATGAGTGACGTTCGAGTAGAATCTTCTCTTTGAGCTTGTTCAAGAGCTTCTTGTATAATCTATAATTGAAAAATGCAGATGAATCTTTTTTTGATAAATAGAAATAAACAAACAAGCTTACTTGTTGATTATGAGAATCCATGGCACTTGTAGCTTCGTCTAAGAGCAATACTTTAGGTCGACGAAGAAGAACTCGAGCAATAGCAATGCGTTGCTTCTCACCACCTGACAGAAAGCTACCTTTCAATCCTACTCTTGTTTCATAACCCTGCAATAAATATCATACAATATTAATACTTTGGACAATCCAAAAGTAGTCCCGACGATATTGTAATTCCTAATAAAAAACTTTCTCTCTATATACTCTGATAGAGAAACGAATGCTCTATTTTTCTATGCTATTTGACCATATTTCAACTAATATCATAGTAATAAGCTTTCGATAGGATTTGTTTCACTATCATATGTGCTGATAGTACTAGTGCCTATTTAGTGAATATTTTTCGAAAAAACTTTTGATAGAAACAACATAGAGAACTGCGGTTTTCATCGCCCGAAAGAACAGATGAAGATACATCGAGTCATATATTATAGGTTTTTTTTTGACATGACTTTTATAAAGCTTTTTAATCAACCTCTTTGAAAACAAATCTACTCATGAGATGTTTACAGTGACTTCTCAATTGTCAGATGAGTATTGAAACCGGCGATGGAAGATCTACAAAGCTGCACAAAGTTCAGAAGTTTAGAATTAATCATTCAGGAGTTATAGGTATTCGAGTCGAAGGCTTAAGTGATTTTCTGGCATTTCTATAAAAGAATATTCTTCTGTTTTCTTTCTGACAAGAAATCATTGTCCCCACACTTCGAAAACTGATTAAACAAACATCAGACAATGCACTAGGAGAACATATAATATATGATTTGATGCATCTTTATCCTCTCTTTCGAACAATGAAAATCGCAATTCTTTATCTTGTTTCTAGCAAAAGTTATTCAAAAAATATTCACTAAATAGCTACTAGTACTATCAGCACATATCATAGCGAAACAAATCTTATCAAAAGTTCATTATTATAATATTAGTTGAAGTATGATCAAATATCATAGAAAAATAGAGCATTCGTTTCTCTATCAGACTATATAGAGAGGAAGTTTCTTATAGCTTTTTATAAGAAACTACAGTATCGCCTCCACTACTTCTAATTTGTCCTAAATAGATAGATCAGAATTTTGTATTATTGAACCTGAGGTAAGTTTTGAATAAATTGATGAACATTAGCTCTACTTGCTGCATTAATAATGTCCTCCATGGGGACATTTTCTAAGCTATATGCTATATTTTCAGCAATTGTTAAGTCAAACAAAATTGGTTCTTGACTAATAAGACCGAAATGAGAACGAATCCATTGCAGATTTAGTTGTCGAATATCAACGCCATCAAGATACTATATCGAATGGACACATTTTGTATGATTACTGAAACTATACGTTAAAGAAATACTAACTAGATGACCACTTGTAACATCGTAGAATCGTTCCAACAGTTGAACTACTGTTGATTTTCCGCATCCGGACGCACCTGTACAGATCATATCACACAATTAACATTTAAAAGAAACATTTAACTCAAACATACCAACAAGAGCCACACGTTGATCTTATCAGTGAATACAAATTTCTAACAAAATAATTAAATCGCAATTTCTCTCACTTACTTGGCTTGATATTCAAATGAAATTTGTTAAGAATAATAGATGTTGGCCGACTCGGATAAATAAATTTGACTTGCTCAAATTTTATCTCTCCACGAAAATCAACCTACATGAATTATATTGTATACATAGCATATGCATGATTGAAAGAAAATAGTTATCTTCTATGTTTTCTTACCAATTCTCGTCCTTCAGTAGATGCATTGTCGATAGTTGGTATTCGATCAAATAAATCAAAAAACGTTTCAATACCCGAGATTGATGAAGCGATACGACTAGATCTAGAATGGAGACAGTAGAGAAAAAAAAACACCAAAGTAGCAATTGAGAGTATTACATCATCCCCATGATTCTTAGTACTTCGAGCGCAAAAATAGCAAAACCAAAGACCCTAATAAATTGAAAAGATAATGAGATATTGTCTCTAGATTATCAAGAAGTTATTTCAATTACATTACACTACGATCTAAGCTGAGTTCGTTCGTTTCAACAAGGATGAGAGCACGCCAATACAAAAATGCCATAGTGAATACATCTAATGTCCAGTATATGCCAAAAGCTATTGCACTTAGTATTGAAGGTTTCCAAGACAATCTATGACAAAATAAGAGTGATTAAAAATTTATACACGTATAATATTCGATTGACCAACACAAATACTTGATGAAGAAGTTCAGAATATTGTCGTAAAACTTCCTTTTCTATCGACAGCTGTTTTACTGTACGCATATTGTGAATAACTTCAACAGCAAACTGCAGAAATAAGAGACAATGAATATAGTATATTCGATTTATCAAGCAATTTATGAAATTTTAGTTTTTTGTATATGAAAATTTTTCTGGCTAAAATCTAACTTTACCGCGCTTGCTCGTTCGAGAATTTGATTCGATTGTTGATTCGTCCATAGACGTACCTGCACATCCACATAAGTGAGTATGACTAGGATAAAAAGAGGAGCAAAAACTATCAATGTTAATTGCCAACTTATGAAGCATCCAAGTATAATTCCAAAAAATGACAGTGAGAGCGCTTCACAGATGGCTCCTAATCGCGTACCAGCCATCTCTTGAATGGCTAATGCACTAGAAGAAAGACGAGTACAAATTGCACCAGAACTATTTTCAGGTCGATCGAAATAAGCAACTTCTTGACGAAGTAGGCATGCAAAAGCTTTTGAACGAATTCGCTGAGTCAATTTCGATCCTGATATGGCAAAAGATGTGTACTATAGAAAAAGAATGAATAAATCATTGATGAGATTCAAAAGCAGTATTTTCACCTGAAAGAAACGAAAAAACAATACAACAACACCCAAAAGTAAGAGAAGAAGACTGGTAATCAGCACCTGATGATTCCGTTCAGAGTTTGAACAATATTTGAATGCCTACAGAATAAACAAATCGACATAAAAGAATGCATATTGTCAATCTATTTGCATGATAATTATATTGGTTGCTCACTTACATCGACTATTTTAGCAAGTAAAAATGTGAACAATGGTTGAGCTGCTCCATTAAGTGCACATGCTACACAGCCAATCAAGAGGGTGATCCATTCAGGACTATTCATTGACAATAGTCTTAAAAAGACAAATCTGTTTCTCAAGGGCTTTGACTTTTGCTAAAAGAGAGATTATCAATAATAGTTTTTATAAATAGTTGCAATATTTTTTGTACTTTGTTCACATCAACAGTATGACTATCGCTAAGCAAACGAATGTGTTCAGCTATTCAATAAAAAAAGACGAAGAAGAGTGAAGACCATCACATAATGAGGCTATCAACAAACTTGTCAACTTTTCATCTTCTTCTGTTGCTTTTTGCATGCTCATCATATCATCTTTATCATTATCGATTCTTCCCATTTGTTGACGTTTGACCATTGATTGATACATACCTCCTTCTTCTGCTATCAATGTTTCATGTGTACCTTGCTCAATCACACTTCCATTATCTAATACATATATTTGATGGGCATTTTGAATTGTAGTCAAACGATGAGCAATTACAATAGTAGTACGACCTATACAAAATCATATATTAATACGATAAGTAGATAAAACACTTGTCACCTTTGCATGCTCGATCAAGTGCTTCTTGAACGATTTTTTCGCTAATATTATCAAGCGCACTTGTTGCTTCATCCAATAAAAGAAATGTAGGCTGCTTAACAAGAGCACGAGCTAATGCAATACGTTGTTTTTCTCCACCACTCAACTGTATACCACGTTCGCCAACAAGTGTTTCATATTTCTAAACAAGAAATAATGATATCTGTACATAGATAAACATGCATATTTGGCACCAACATTTGGTAATTTCATGATGAAATTATGTGCATTTGCTTCTCGTGCTGCTTGTTCAATTTCTTCTCGTGTTGCATCCACTTTACCAAAACGAATATTTTCATAAATACTTATATCAAACAAAATCTATTGCAATAGTGAATTACATAGAAATGAAGACATAAAAAAAACCCAAACAAAACATACGGGTTCTTGACTAACCACTCCAATGTTTTGTCGAAGTTGTTTGACATTATAGTCTGCTATCGACCGACCATCGATTGTTATTCGACCTGAGGAAGGTTCATAAAAACGAAGAAAAAGTGATATACATGTACTTTTTCCTATGAATAAATTATGAACACAAATGAGATCATTTTAATATCTTTGTTTTGGAAAAGACTTACCACTGCCACTTGAACCTACAAGAGCAGTTGTCTGCCCAGCACGAGCGATAAGAGAGAGATTACGCAAAACTGGTGCACCTTTTCGAGATGGATAAATAAAGTTAACATGGTCAAATTCAATATCACCATTGATATTATAAATTGATTTGTTATCCTCTCTCCATACATCTGTTTCATTGACATTTATGTCATTTCCCTATATCATGTAAACAAATAGAGAACATTGCTGGTAATATGAGATCTGCATTTATTCAGATTTACTTCGTCAATAAGTCGAAACACCGGTGCTGCTGCGCCTCGAGCTTCTGAAAATGATTGAAAGCAAGGAATAATAAAAGTGAAGTAACCCATATATTGTGCAAAGAGAGGAACGATCTGCATTAAAATAGTAGTTGTATATTCATTTACTGTTTGACTGATGATATGAATTACTTACGATAAGAATATCAGTAATATTCACGCCATGATAATCTTTGCTTGAGTTAAGAAGAGAACCAAAGATAAAACCAACTGCATAAACTAGGTAGGTTACCAGAGAAAGCCATCCAAGAAAAGCCCCATATACTGCACCTTGGCGAATATTAGTCCAACGAGTTGAATCCAATTCTTTTTCATATCTAAATGCAATCAAAATCGCAACATGTTTTATGATATCAAATAAGTAAACTTATTTTAATCTATTGGTTTACCGTTTTTGCTCAAATTTGCTACCATTGAGAGAAAGAACTGTACGTAATGAACTAAACACTTCTTGAGCGATTTGTCCCGCTTTCGAGTATGTCATTAACTCATTCAATGCTTGATTAGCGGTGAACTATAACAATTCATAAGGATTTAATTGATTGAACAACACTTCATACCTTAGAAAAGATAAATGAACTACCAAGGAGCAAAGGTAACAAGCATAGCATAACCAAAGTCAATTGCCAGTTGATAACAAAAGATGCTATGATATAACCAAAGATATCGAAGAACGATGAGATCGATAATAAGAAGTCACAACCAATGCCTCTCTCGATCTTTGCAATATTACTGTACAAGAATCGGATCAAATGGAGTTAATTGATACAGTGCGGGCCGTAAAAAGCATGTACTTTTTTGTTTTTACGCATAAATGAGTAAAAAGGATAGTCTGAAGATTTTCTTTCATATCGGAGTTTGTAGAGAATTTTTCGCTGATCATTTTGTTAAAAAAGTTTTTAATTTTCATTGAATAATAACGATTTTATAGCCAAAATACTAAACACTGTAAAAAATAGTAAAGAAAAAAGTTTAGCAAACTTTTAGTATTTGGCTAATTTCTACGTTAT